GCATGCGCCACCATGCCCAGCTGATTTTTTGTATTTTTAGTAGAGACAGGGTTTCACCATGTTGACCAGGATGGTCTCAATCTCTTGACCTCAGGTGATTCACCCGCCTCGGCCTCCCAAAGTGCTGGGATTACAGGCGTAAGCCACCGCGCCCAGCCCAACAATAGGAATTTTTTAAGTTTCTCATCTCACTTAGCCTCCCAGCATTTTTATTGACATCCTCCCTAAAATACCCGCCTTTTCTTGGCTTCTGTGAGGCCCACACCACACTCTTGGCTTCGTTTCTATACCCCTGGCCTCTCCCAAGCAGTCTCCAGTCCTGACTCCTTCTTCCCTGGCTTTAAATATTGACACTGCTCAACGCTTGGTCTTAGCTACTTCCTCTCTCTCCCACAACCACCAAGGTCTCTCCATCTACATTCTCTCCTCTGACAACCTCATTCAGGCCCATTGAGGCTTTAAGTATTGTCTGTGCACCAATGACTTCCAAATTTTATCTCTATCCTTGCCTTCCTTCTTGCTCTACACCTGACTATTCCACATCTCTACTTGGATATCTCAAGAGGATTCCAAAACTGAACTCAAGACTTTATGCCCCCAGACTACTCCTTTCTTAGGGTTCCCAATTAGAATCTTGGGAGTCATCCTGGACTCCCTCCCCATGACTCCAGTATTCAATCCATTCCCAGTCCCATGGGCTGTATGCCCTAAGTGTCTCTGGAGAGTGTCCCTTTCTTTCCGTCTCCACTGGTCCCATCTCCCCAGAACTTTTGCAAGGGCATCCTAACTGGTTTTCCTGAATCTATGCTTGGCCTTTGCCAGCATATTCTCTACAATATAGCCAAAGTGATTTTCAGAAAGTAAATCTGATTATGTCACTCCCCTGTACAAAGATACAACCACAAACTTGTTAAATACAAAATTATTCATCAAAAGCAAGAAAAGATGAAAAAACTTAAATATTCCAAAATATTAGATTGAGCCAGGTGTGGTGGCTCATGATTGTAATCTCAGCACTTTGGAAGGCCGAGGTGGGAGGATCACTTGAGCCCAGGAGTTAAAGGCTGCAGTGAGCTACCATCATGTCACCGTGTTCCAGCCTGGGCAACAGAGTGAGACTCAGTCTCTAAAAAATTTTTAATAAAGTAAAAAATACAGATTGGTCAGACACACTAAGTATATCCATTTAATGGAAAAGTATGCAGTTATAAAAAACAAGTGTAGTTCCGGCAAATGTTAAGAATTCAAAAATCTAGAGCAGTGGTGTCCAATAGAAATATACATGAGCCTCATATAATTTAAAATCCTCGGCCGGGTGCGGTGGCTCACACCTGTAATCCCAGCACTTTGGGAGGTCAAGGCGGGAGAACCACCTGAAGTCAGGACTTCGAGACCAGCTTAGCCAGTATCGTAAAAACCCATCTCTACTAAAAATAAAAATAAAATTAGCCTGGTATTGTGGCATGTACCTGTAGTCTCAGCTACTGGGGAGGCTGAGGCAAGAGAATTACTTGAATCTGGGAGGCGGAGGTTGCAGTGAACCGAGATTACATCACTGCATTCCAGCCTGGGTGACAGAGTGAGACTCCATCAAAAAAAAAAAAAAAAAATTAAAATCCTCTAGTAGTCCTGTTTTAAAAAGTAAAAAATGTTAAATTAATTTTCATAACATTTTATTTAATCCAATATTTCAAAAATTTAGCATTTCAACATGTAATCAATATAAAAATACTCAATAGGATGTTTTACAATCTTTCACACTGTCTTCAAACTTGAGTATGTTTTTCTCTAACAGTTACGCATTTGTTTTCATGTGTAAGAAGAAAAACATAACTAGCATGTGAACATGACTGCATGGATACACCGCTCAGCGCAAGACTAAAGTCAGAAGTGAGTCAAAACAAAATCGCATGTTGATTTAAGTGAAATAACAGACCAGGAGGCCTTTGGTTATGATAAAAATTGTGGAGATGGTCTGTGAATGCAGAAGTTCGGGGCTCACTGCTGTAGGCTTAGGGTGAGACGCTGTGCTCCGAGCTGAAGCTCCCAGGGCTCTACAGAGAAGCTCGCCCAGTGTACGGCCCCTGTGGCGTTCGCTAGGGAGCCCGTGGTACAGCGAGACCCCAGGGAGGAAAGCACATTCTGTTTAACTTGTCCATGCCCTACAAAATGTCTTAGAAGTGATGAAGCAATGACAATGATTTTCTTTCACAGGGAAGAAGAATCTTCTAGATGTGGCCTTGAGGAGGCAGTGGTTACAAGACAGGCTGGGCTGCAGGGTCTGAGTGGGACTGGGCTCATAACCAGGGGACTGAAGGGACACCTGTCCTGGAAGCCATCCCGAAGAAGTGCTTGTGTGTGTTTGGGGGTGCGGTGGTGCATGCCCCCGGTCAAGGCTGCAGGAGGCACACTGGTCCCCTGCACCCTGTTCCCAGCATGCAACGGGTTCTCACCCCATGCCGGCTGACTCACTGCAGCACCCGGGAGGAGGTGCCAGAAGGCAGGTGGGGACCTGCCAACATCCTGGGGTGTCTGCGGACCACCCTCTCCTCCTAGGCCTGGGCCCCAGCCCCACTTTAGCGCAATACATTCCGGAGTGAAGAAGTCCATGGCTGTGCTCCCACTGGGTCCCATTCTCGTACATGTACGAACCAAGGGGAGGTGTTTTCTCCTACAATCTCTCCCCTAAATCCAAAGAATGTTGGTTCCCATCATTTCAACCTCAATTTTTTTTCCTTTTCCTTATTTATTTATTCTTTTTATTTTGAGACGGAGTTTTGCTCTTATTACCCTGGCTGGAGAGCAGTGGCTGATCTTGGCTCACTGCAACCTCTGCCTCCTGGGTTCGAGCAATTCTCATGCCTCAGCCTCCCATCTCATGCCACAGCCTCCCAAATTGCTGGGATTACCGGCCCCAGCCACCACCCCTGGCTAACATTTTGTATTTTTAGTAGAGGCGGGGTTTCACCATGTTGGTCAGGCTGGTCTCAAACTCCTAAACTCAGGTGATCCACCTGCCTTGGCCTCCCAAAGTGCTGGGATTACAGGCATGAGCTACCATGCCTGGCCAACCTCAACATTTTCAAAAAGCACTTTTTATTTTTTTGACGCAGAGTCTTGCTCCCAGGCTGGAGTGAAATTGTGCGATCTCAGCTCACTGCAGCCTCTGCCTTCCACGTTCAAGTGAATCTCCTGCCTCCGCCTCCCAAGTAGCTGGGACAACAGGCATGCGCCACCATGCCCAGCTAATTTTTGTATTTTTAGTATATACAGGGTTTCACCATGTTGGCCAGGCTGGTCTCGAACTCCTGACCTCAAGTGACTCACCCACCTCAGCCTCCCAAAGTGCTGGGATTACAGGTGTGAGCCACTGCACCAGGCCTAAAAAGCGCTTTTTAAGGGACTTTGGAGTTTTTCCTCAAACAGCTCAACCCTGTAAGCCAGGCTGGTCTCAGCATCCCTACCAGACAACTATAGTCAGTGCTAGGGTCCAAGTGCCCCCGGCAGACTCCCCCCAGCTTTCCCCTGGAAGTGGAGTGGGGCCAGCAAGGAATTCTGGGGGCAACTCTCATGGTCCAGGAACCTTCTGGTGCCCAGAGGATAGAGGAGGAGCAGAGGGTTGGAGGGCACTCAGCCCTGCTGTGTCCTAGACAGGCTGGGCTGATCTGCAGGCTGGTCCCCAGTGTGCAACAGCAGGTCAGGAAGGGAAACCAAGTCAGGGAAGGACCCCCAGGTGGGGCTAGTCGTCCACTCACTGGCCAACGCCCAGCAGGCACTCTCCGCAGCACGCCGCAGCATTCCGCTTCACGTGGCACGGCTTATAGAAGAGACGGTTGTTTGGGAGTCGCAGCCTTGGTCGGTGGGCTTCATAGACAGGAGGGTCCCGCAGTCCTCACACCTGTAGCAGTTTTCATGGACGTTTCTTCCAATGCAGTCAATTTTGAAGGCATCTTTCCTATTCCGAGGAACGATGAGATTCTCACAGATGCTGCCGACGGGGGCGAATTGCCAGGAAGTTGTCCAGGCAGTGCACCTCGTTCTGCCTGCCCAGGGCAAAGCTCCCAGCCCCGATGTGAGGGGAGGAAGGCCTGGCCCTAATGATGTGCTCCTGGACCACCTCGACACCCTTGCCGCACTTCTCCAGCGTGTCCTGGTAGCAGGGTTCGCAGAGCGGTCGCACATCCTTCAGTGAAGCTCTGCTCAGCCAGCTGGCAGCGGCAGCTAGGGCATGTGAAGCCCTGGGCATGGTACTGCCTCTTCCTGGCCTCCACAGCCAGCTCTTGGGGGGACACAGTCTTATGGTAGAAGGTACAGATGTCTGTGGACGCCTCTGTTTCAACAGGCTCTGCTGGGGGCGAACTGCAGCGCTTCCTCCACCGGCCTCAGAGGATCCGGCCCAGGGTAGACTGAAGGTCTCCCTGCCGGGCCAGAGGTAGGGGTGGGGGTGGGGGCGGGGACGGGCGCAGCTTCTTTAAGTCCGCAATGAGTGAGGCCCCCATTGAAGCAGGAGCATCCGAGGGGGTGGTGAAGCAGGTGAGAGGAGGTCCAGGTCGGGAAGCTCGTCCTAACCTCAGGAGGAGGGGGTTGGACACCCTGGGCTGCCCTCGCCCTGGCGGCTTGGATCCGATGCCCAAGCCCAAGTGTGTATTTTATACTTACAGCATATCTCAATTTAGACACTAAATTTTCATCAGAAATACTTATCTCTGAAGATTTAAATTTTATAAGGTAAATTTATAGTTGAAAAGCAGATTCACATGCCTACATTGTTCCAAAATACTTAAAAATTTTCCAGTAACTAAGTCAAACATCAGTTTTTACATTTAAATGCTAGTAAATTAAATTTAAATAAAATTGTCCAGGCAGTGTGGCTGTTGCCTGTAATCTTAGCACTTTGAGAGGCCAAGGCAGTAGGATCAATGGAGTCCAGGAGTTTGAGACCAGCCTGAGCAACATAGCAAGACTCCATCCCTACAAAAAGAAAAAATAAAAATTAACCAGGCATGGTCATGTGTGATTTATAATTCCAGCAACTTGGGAGGCTGAGAGGGTAGGATCACTTGAGTCCAGGAGTTGGAGGCTGCAGTGAGCAATGAATGCACCACTGCACTCCAACCTGGGTGACACAGTGAGACCCTGATCTCAAAATAATAATAAAAATAAACAAATTTAGTTATTCAGTTACAGTAGCCACTCCTCCTCCTCTCTTCCTCCTCATCTCCTCCTCCTCCTCCTCCTCCTTCTTCCTCTTCCTCCTCCTCCTCTTCCTCCCCTTCCTCCTCCTCCTCCTCCTCTTCTTCTTCTTCCTCTTCTTCTTCCGATACAGGGTCTCACTCTATCGCCCAGGTTGAAGTGCAGTGGCACGATCACAGCTGGCTGCAGCCTCAATCTCCTGGGCTCTGGTGATTCTGCCACCTCAGCCTCATGGGTAGCTGTGACTATAGGCACTCATCACTGTGCTCAGTTAATTTTTTGTGTTTTTAGTAGAGACAGGGTTTCGCCATGTTGCCCAGGCTGGTCTCAGACTCCCAGACTCAAGGGATCCACAGGCATCGACCTCCGAAAGCGCTGAGATTACAGGAATGGACCACTGTAGCCACATTTCAAGTGCTCATTTGCTACACATGGCTGGTGGCTACTGTATTTGTTGGATGATACATTTCTAGAGTAATGTTAAGACTGAAATTTCCCTGATTCATTTATAAACTTTGTAAACATTATTATAAAAGCCCTTCAAAGGATAAAAATATTACATCCTTACCTTTCTTGGAAATAAATGACAAATAAATATTAGCAAATAAAATCAAGGAATATTTTCAAATAATCATAGCCAAATAGAATTTTTTCTTTTTTTAAGATGGAGTCTCTGTCTGTCACCCAAGCTAGAGTGCAGTGGCACAATCTCAGCTCACTACAACCTCTGCCTCTCAGGTTCAAGTGATTCTTTTGTCTCTGCCTCCCAAGTATCTGGGATTACAGGTGCCTGCCACTACACCTGGCTAATTTTTGTATTTTTGGTAAAGACAGGGTTTTGCCATATTGGCCAGGCTGGTTTCGAACTCCTGACCTCAGGTGATCTGCCTGCCTTAGCCTCTCAAAGTGTTGAAATTACAGGCGTCAGCCACTTTACCTGGCCAAATAGAATGTATTTAAGGAATGGACAAATGATCCTTCCTGGGTTTTCCTATTGGGATGAGATATCCCATTTACAATCAGCATAAAAAATAAAATACATATAATTAAGCTTAACAAAAATGTACAAGATATTTATAAAGAAATGCTAAAGGGTATAAAAGAAGATGAAAAATGGACAGGCACGTTCCAAGATCCTGGGAGGAAAAGACTAAATATTGGTAAAGAGGTGAAATCGTCTAATGTTAACCCATAAGTTTAAAGTAAGTCAAATCAAAATGCTAAAGAAAATGTTTGTTGGTGGGTGGGGGGATCTAGTTAAACTAATCCTAATGTTTATCTAGAAGAATAAATAAATGAAGAATAACCAAGAAAATAACAAAGAAAGAATAACTTGTGGCCGGTGCGGTGGCTCATGCCTATAATTGCAGCACTTTGGGAGGCCCAGATGGGAGGATCAACAGGTCAAGAGATGGAGACCACTGGGCCAGGCGCATCTGTAATCCCAGCACTTTGGGAGGCCAAAGCCAGCGGATCATGAGGTCAAGAGTTCAAGAGCAGCCTGGCCAATGTGGTGAAACCCTGTCTCTACTGAAAATACAAAAATTAGCCATGTGTGGTGGCACGAGCCTGTAGTCCCAGCTACTTGGGAGGCTGAGGCAGGAGAATCACTTGAACTCGGGAGGTGGAGGTTGCAGTGAGCCGAGATCACGCCACTGCACTCCAGCCTGGTGACAGAGCGAGACTCTGCCTCAAAAAAAAAAAAAAAGATGGAGACAATCCAGGGCAACATGGTGAAATCCCATCTCTACTAAAAATACAAAAATTAGCTGGGCAGGGTAGCATGCGCCTGTAGTCCAAGCTCCTTGGGAGGTTGAGGTGGGAAAATCGCTTGAACCCGGGAAGTGGAGGTTTCAGTGAGCCAAGATTGCCCCACTGCACTCCAGCCTGGAGACCGAGCAAGACAACGTCTCAAAAAAATAAAAAGAAAAAGAAAGAATAATTTGTGCTACCTAGATATGAAACTGTAGTGATTAAAAACATTGTGGTACTGGGGCAAGAAAAGACAGATCCATGGAGCTAGACCCATGAATATAGGATAATTTGCTAAATAATGAAGATGGCATTTCAACTTGATGGGGAAAATATTGATTATTTAATAAAAGTTATCCATACAACGGATATCTTTTGGAAAAAATGTAAAGTTATCTCACACTATACTCCCAAATAAATTCCAGATAGTTTAAGGATTTGGAAATAAAACAAAGAAACAAAATCTCAAAAGTTCTAGGAGATACTAGTGGAGTACGTTTTAAAAGAATTTGGCTGGGCGGGGTGGCTTTCACCTGTAATCCTAGCACTTTGGTAGGCTGAGGCAGGCGGATCACGAAGTCAAGAGATTGAGATCATCCTGGCCAACATGGTGAAACCCCGTCTTTACTAAAAATACAAAAATTAGCTGGGTGTGGTGGTGTGTGCCTATAGTCCCAGCTACTCAGGAGGCTGAGGCAAGAGAATTGATTGAACCTGGGAGGCGGAGGTTGCAGTGAGCCGAAATTGTGCCACTGCACTCCATCCAGCCTGGGCGACAGAGCGAAACTCTGTCTCAAAAAAGGAAAAAAAAAAAGAATTTGGGATAGGGAGGTCTTTTGGTAGTGTGGCGCTAAGCCGCAAGTCATAGAGGAAGTGATTGGCGGGTTTGATTATTTCAGCACACACTACTGGTTACCAGTGAGATGCAAGTAAAAATCTTCTGGGTCCTTCTGGGAAAGAATTTCCTCCCCATTGAAAGAAAGTAGATCTGTGAGATGGCAAAAAAAATTCCTTGTCCTTATTTTCTTCTTTTTTCACACTAGTTCTTCCTAATCAGAGGATGAGGAGGTCATATTCAAAGGTGTAGCAGGCACTTTGTCTCACTGAGGGGAGACGTTGTGAGTGAATGGCAAATCTGAAGGTCATACAGAGACTGAT